TCTAATATTTTACCTTAAATTATATTAAATAAATGAAAATCCATAGAAATTGCCTTAAGAAATATCCATCAAAACATTTACAGTTCCACTACTTCCCTGGGTGATCAATTGACTGTGCAAACATGAGAAGAGAGTTCATCTTGTTACGATATTGATTGAATTAAAGCACTTTAAATACAAAGGTGGAAGTTGATTAACTTTCAGAAATAGAGTCACATTTCAGGTTCACAAAGGAAAGGTAGGCATGGAAGGACATGAGGACGCTGAAAGGCATTTGACAGGGGAAGGTTGTATTCCCCAGATAACCCTATCAAGCAGCACTGTCGACACCAAAAAGAAGAAAACAAATAAATTGGAGGTTGTGTGAATGTCACAAGACCAGAATATAAATACGTATGACATGGAAAGAAGTAAATACCGATAATGCTTATTCTTAGAGAATGTTTAGGGGGATACCTTCTAGCTAGAACAAAATGAAAAGGAAAAAAAATGTAGATAAATCTCTGAGATACTAGTCCTGCATCCACCTTTTATTCACAATAAACCCACCTTTAAGAGATACCAGTGCAGGTGCCATAGGCCAAATCACAAAACAAAGTCAATGTGTGACAAAACTCAGGACTCCTGCATCTAGAAATGTACTTAACATTCTGAGAACATTTCAACCCTGTTTTGCTTTCCACCTCACAAGAGAGAATGCAGACTTCAGCCTGTGTAGACAGAAAATATCAAGACAGAATGTGGAATTTAGGACTTGGGTTTTCTTATTACACTGAACAAATTGTAGAAACACACATTAAAAATTTCATGTTAAAATGATGTTTAACTTCTTTTCTCTTTTCCATTAAAAGTCACTGTAATATTTTCTTATCAATATAATATATACCCATACATGGACTAAACCTTACTATGGTCTTAAACACTAGTTGTTCTATTGCCTTCCCAGCCCGTGTTTTCAATGCCACCCATTTTCCACTTGGCATCATGCTCTGTGACACCTCCTGTCCACCTCAGGCCTGGGTGTCTGTTCCAATGGATGCCTTCCTGAAAACCCCACATAATTGCCTGTTTCCTGTTCCGTGGGCTTCACCTTGCCATATCTAATGGGAGTGCTGGCCTGGATTCCAGGAAAGTTGTGCCAGAAAAATCTGGCGGGTCTTGCTGCTCATTAACATCAGCTCCCCCTTCCTTGCCTGGGAAACCAGAACACGGTGTCTTCCTGGCATGCCCGTGTCCTGCCAGCTCAGGAAGCAAGACCCTTAGTCTGGCATGGAAAATCTGGTTTCCTCTCCATGGCCATAAAGCCTTCAGTTTTTAATGTTCAATAAATATCAATCTTCTAGAACATTCTTACACTCAATACAAATGAACTCTCTGATTTAAAAAAAAAATCATTGTTAAAACTTCAAAGCTGGGGTTGGGGTGATGGCTGAGTGGTAGAGCGCCTGCCCAGCATGTGCAAGGCACTGGGTTCGATTTTCAGCACCACATATAAATAAATATAATAAAGGTCCATTGACAGCTAAAAAAGATTTTTAAAAATTTCAAAGTTGTAGGAAAGAAAATGAAACAATATCTAGAACCTATCAAGTTTTGTCATATGATTAAGAATTAAAATATGTTGAATTAATTCAATCTTTATAGCCAACACCCTTTACAAGGACCTAGATAGAAGTGAAACTTTCAAAAATCTGAAAGGATAATCAGTTAAATAATTTTTACACATGGCATGATGTACAATCAAAATTTTAATAAGTATATTTGAGATGTTTTCTGCTCAAAAGATTCTTCATAACTGGGTAACTTCCTGGGCCCTTTTGTTTCTACTAGTCTCTCTGGATGGGCCAGTGTTTCCTATGGCTTCATTAGCTTCACAATAGGCTGATGACTCACAAATTCTCCATCCCAGACCTCATTCCTACACTGTAGGCCCACATGGCTGAGCTTCGAATCCATGTGGTATCATCATTTCCCACTTCCATTCTGCTCCTCCTCATATGTCTTGTAGCTCATGAAATGTCAAAATCTGGCAGCTCAAGTCAGGTAAGCAGCTGAGCACCTCCCTAATCCTTCTCTTCTTCAGCCCTGATATGGAATCCATCTTTAGATCCTATGGATTTTGTTTCCTTACTGTCACTCAAACTTACCATCTCTCTATCCTCACCTCTACCTAAGCTCATCAATTCCTTGCAGGAAAAGAATAGCTTCCTACAGGTCTACCCTCCACAAATATCACCCCCATTCATTTCATTCTTCGTAGTCAGGAGGACAATTCTAAAATGCAGAGTTGACTGTGCCCTAAGATGCTTACTGTGCATTTCTCCATGCTTTGGTACCTACTAGTACCCTTTCTGCCCAGAATAGCTTTCCTCACATCCTCCTTCTACCTAATTCCTGCTTATCCTTTGAAACTTATCTTGCTCCAGGACATTTCTCCAAGTCTCCTTCAGGTTATTCACCCCTTCTGTGTATTCTCATAGCAGATGGGGTTTTAGTACCTAGATTATATTGTAACTTCACCCTTTTCTCTTTTCCAACTGGAATAAGAGATCCTTGGAGGCTGGATTGTCCTTGGAGTAAAGAACTATGGTTTTTCATCTGTCAATTCTCAGTCATACAATAGCACAGGGTCTGCTATTGTAAATCCTCAATAAGTTTCTTCCGATTGAAGAAATGAAATGCTCTAGAATGAGGTCATGGGTTTCTATGCAACATCTTACTGGAAACCAGGTTAAATGAAGGCTACAAAGAATTAGATACTATTGAAAGGGGAAATTTTGTTCAAGCAGAGGCATTGAATCTGATTTTTAAAGATGCTGGTCAGTTAGGCCTGATTATTGGAAATGTGTCTCTTGTAAAGACAAAGAGGAAAGTCTTCGCAATTGCCAACCTCAGCACTGTAGTCTCTAGGGACCAAGACAGTTACATGAGAAAGATGTGCTTGTCCCATGCCTCTGCAGACAAAAACTATCAAGGGGAAGAGGAATATACTTTGGGATATAACAATCCCCATACAAGCAGATTTAGAACCTTCAATCTGATTTGTTGCCATTAAACAGAAAGGAAAGAAGGTCTCTCCTCTGTTGTGTCAATTCTATAAATTCTTACTATGAGAATACATAGTACATCCACAAGGCTTTATTAAACATGTACCTTAATTTCTAGTTTTTTAATGTGCTTAAAAACATTAAAAACCACCTCATTTCTGACTTGGAAATGTCAGCACATTATAAGCTACAAAACAACTTCAGTATCATTACCTGTTCACCTGCCAGCCCTCTACTGAAAAGCTGCCTCCCTGGATTCTGCTTTGCTTTCCATCCACACCTCTCTAGTGCATGCCATGTTCACGTGCTTTAAGGCTGTGTCTCTCCACTGGAAACTTTATTTACTGCTATTAAACCATGCATCGAGTCCTAATAACAGAAAACCCTGGAAACAGGTTGTATTAAAAGAAGGCTGGGATTTTGGCTTCATGGTCTAGTAGAAATCTGAACAACCTTCTGCTTGGGAACAGATAAGGGCACAGGCAATTTATTGATTGTGTTAACACAAGATAAAATAGAAGTGTTACCTTGAAGTGCTGTTGGCTTGCTTTGTAAGTTCCCAGTTCTACAAACCCAACAATCATAGGGTAGTAGAGCTGGTAACATACAAAGCCAACATACCATTTTAAGATTTGAAGCTGGCCATGGTAGGGATTGTGAATATTACCAAATCAGTTGTTTACTTCTCCATGACTCTCAGTCACCCCTCCAATATCTATCTCTAGGAAAATTGTGCCTATTAGAAATGCAATTCTATTGCATTATGTTTCCTATCTTTAGCAACATTTTAAACTTTCCAAAATTGAATGTGAACAGATTCACTTTGATTAGAAATTTCAAATCACAGTTTAAAAAATTCCAGTTTACAAAAAAGAAAATACAGTTTAACTAACAGAATCAGTGCATTTTCTCAAAGCCACCACTCCTCCCACCAGCCTTTCTGTGAGGCACATCTACCTTCTGTCCATCATCTTCACTCAAGACCTTGGAAGTTGCTTTCCTCCCAGCAGTCGTGCAATACATTACTACACCTTTTCCCTCCACTGCTCTATCTGAAGTTGCCTGCAATCCCCTGAGCTCTGACCCACCTGATATGTTAATCTTGCTCAGGTTAGTAAAATAAAATCCTGATGTTCTCTTCCAACCCACCCAACATCACTGTTCATTTTCCCGAAACAGTCTCAAATCATGTCATTCCCTGTTTGAAAACTTTCAAGGAAGCTCCACGACTTACTAAACCAGCCCTGCATCCTCAAATCTTGGTCCTACTTTTTCTTCTCTACGTTTTATTCATTCAACTGTGCTCTTCTTTCAAAGTGCATGGTGCAGGTGCAGCTCCATGCTCCTGTGGCTGCTTTTTACCCAGCTACCTGGTTTGCATCCTGGTTCCATTATTTACTTGCTTTATGCCTCTGCTTCCTCATTTACAACATACAATAGCACCTAGATTTTATGACGATTACACGAGGAAGTACCTACAAAGCCCTTAGAAGAGCTCTAGCACATGGTGTTTAGTTAATGTTAGTGACCATTATTGTTATGTCTTTCAAAGGCCATTTTCAAATCCACTTGTTGAGCGAAACCTTTTGTCTTGCCTAACTCAATGTAACTTCTTCCACTTTTTGTACTTCTCTGAATAGTATTTGACATATTAGGCCCTGCCACAGAGTAGTGCATGTATTTATTTTGGCCTGTACTGAACTGTATGCTGATTAATGTTGAGAAAACTTTATTCATCCTTGTACATGAGATCATCAAAAGGATAAAATAAGTACTAGCTAAATTGAAATAAATTGATTTTATTGTGTTCCACAAATTAAGTAAATACATATAAATAAGTAAAATGAAATGAACAGCTTGATAACATGTATGTTACTAGTGAAAGACACTGAGATGTCAGTAGAACCATGACTTGCCCTGATAACATCCTTTATTCCATGTTCTGCATTTCAGGTCTGCTTAGTGGCCTATCTGGGCTTGTTTATGCTTTGTGTCTCATATCAAGTTGACGAACGGACATGTATCCAGTTTTTTATGAAAGTAAGTTGTTATTTTTCTTTTCTTTATCATCAATAGAAATACAAGTATAAAATAAAGGAGTGCTTTTTAAAGGGTTGCATATCTGATGTGTCTAGAAATTACATTTTCAGGCAGGCCAAAAAATGTTTTAGGAGGGCATTGATCCGCACCCAAAGGTAATGCTAGTCTTAATTTCCATGAGCTGGGCTGGCATGGAGCATGTGAAGTGTGTCCTTTAATGCCCTTAAAAGGAATATTGAGCATTCATCAGCTCAACAAAACACTTGGCCAGGGAAAGGTGGCTCTTTCAGTACCCACTTCCATATCTTGGGGGTTATTTGGAGTATTTTAATAAAGAAGCAATTTAAGTGCATTTCCCCTTGTAGGTGGGATCACTGAGACAGAAAAAGTACATTGGGTGCATCCAAATGATCTGTGCCAGGAGTCTGAGGGCAATGGTTGGGATATGCATGGCTTGGCAAGTGTGTGTGTCTTTCATTTATGTGAATTTTTTCTCTGTTAAGGACAGTGAATTTGCTTGGACTCAATTCAAATGCACAGCATTTTCAATGAACAGAATATTCTCCAAAGAGAAACATAGATACCTCCTTTTCAGAGTTTAAGGACATAAACACTGAACCGAGTAATCAAAGCTAGTAGAAATCAAATTCCTACATTTTCTCTCAATTATTATAGCAGAGAATAAAAAATTATCAGTAACTTTTTTTTCTATTCACACTATTTACTTTTCTTCTATAAGAAAACATAAAAACTTTATAAATATGTAACAAAAATCCCATCATTATATAAAACTATAATGTACTCATAAAAAATGTAAAAAGAGAAAAAAACTGGATGTTCTTTTGTTCACCTCAACTAGAATAAAATTAAGTCAACAATATTATTTGGAAATTATGAAGATGAAGAACATAAGATGTATTGGAATACTGTAGTATAATTGAAGCCATTAATATAAAAGAGCAGAGTGCTGATGCTTTTTAAAATCATGCTGTAGTTGGGTGTGGTGGAACACACCTATAATTCCGTGACTTGGGAGGCTGAGGCAGGAGGACACAAGGTCAAGGCCAGCCTGGGCAACTTAGTGAAATCCTATCTCAACATTAAAAAATAAGAAGGGCCAGGGATGTAGCTCAGTGGTAAAGCCCCTCTGGATTCCATCCCTGTACTGCAAATAAGCAAACAAATAAATAAAATTTAAAAATCATGATGTAAAAAGGAAGTTAATGGAACAAAGAAAGTTTACATTTTATTAACTAATGAAAAAAAGCTGGTTACAAAAAAATTATCATATGATTTCACAGAAGAAAGACTATCTTTCATTGTGCATAAAAAATAGTTATCCGTGAGTGTAGGGATAAAGAGCAACATTTTGTAATTTTCTCCAATTTTGAAATGTTCTCCAATAGTGAGACATCACTTTTCTAATTAAAAAATAATAGATGCTGTTTTTAAGAAAATTGTGAAGAGTTAGAATTTTGGTACAAATATCTACATTTGAAAATTTTACTTTTTGTGTCTAAGGACTTTCCTTAAAAGAAGAAGCCTAGATAGAACAAAGCCTCAGTTCAAGTTTTTTTTTTTGTTGCATTCTGACTAAAAGAAGGCTTGGTGATGGAAGGAAGCAAGCAAGGAAGCCTGGTAAAAATGGTCTGTTAAATAACAGGAACTTAATTCAGTAGGTGAAAAACCCCCTAAACTAGGTTTTCATTAATTTATGTGCAATACCCTCATTTTCCCTCACAGATGATCCCAGAAAACAGCAGAAGGAAATGCCTCACTTTCAGAGAGACCCCTAAAGGCATCTCAATGTCTGCACCTTAGTTAAAATAAGGAGCAAGGAGAAAAAAAGGAAAAGAAAGAAAAAAGTCACTGCCAATGTCAGCCAGGTTGAGAATTTCCCACTAGGAAGATCTCATTAGTTACTTAATTTTTTCACCTGTGACAGACATTGACAAATACTGAGGCACTTTTCTCTTCCCCTGAATGTGACCTTTAGTGATGCTTGCTGCCAGCAATCTAAGGTGCTGGCTTATAGTATCTTCAGGTCCAAAATCAGCTTCACTCATCTCCAGGTTTTCTAGTGGTCCAACAGAGCACAGTGATTTCCTCTCCCTTTTAGGAGGGGGCAGAAATGAAATGCATGTTAGGTGTTTCTTACCAGCACAATTGCATTTGAGTGCCCCCATGTTGGCACCCTGGCTTAAGCATTGTCTGAGAATTTCTTTCCTCCTGTTGAATGCTCAGATAGCCAGGGCAAGCAATCGGGCGATGATGACAATCTCCTTGTGGTCAGAGAGAGCGAGAGCCAGGGAGAGCGAACACACACACACACACACACACACACACACACACACCTTTTTCCTTTGGCAGGTCTTGGATGCCACCAGTGCTTTCCTCTTTCTCCCTGGCTTCTAACCCTGGGCTTGGCGGTCCATCTTACTGTGGATTGCGCCTCCTGCCTTTCCCCGTGGCCCCTATTTCTGGGGGCGCACCTGAATTTTCAGAAATGTGTTGAGTTCATGTGCTTGCGGGAACATTCCGGGGCACAGTCCCTCGTGCCCACATCTAGGAAGCCCCCGGGGTTCTGTGGCAGCCCGCTCTTGCGCGGTGTGCAGAGGGGACTTTACCATTCAGACCACCGGGGAAGGTAATTAAATTGAAGCAGAACCACCTTCTCCCGAAGTCACCGAATGTGAAAGCCTGAAAGCCGCAGCCGGGTACCAATTAGAGAGAGGCAGGGAACGGAGGAGCGAGGGAGCGAGACCCGCCAGGCGCTGCTGTTACATAAGCACCCGGGGCCACCGCGCCTCCGCCCGCCGCAGAGCGCCAGACCGCTGGGCTGACACCCGCAAGACGAATGCCTCCCGCGCGGGGCTGTTATCAAGATATATTTGCTCGGATTCCCAAGGTCATCGTACACACTTTCATTGATAGTTATTCGTTCTGTGTAGGTAAAACAAGCCACTTGATTTTAAATTATGGATTCTAACCCATAAGCTTGTTGCTGTCAGATGAGTTTAAAGCCATGAAGGCAAAATGCTACAGCGTTGCAGATATAGCCCACAGGCTTTAGCGGATCAAGTATATATTTATGACCTAAAATGGATAAGAAACTCTATTCTGTGGCTTCTTCCTGTTTACTGATGCTTTTCTGAGTGGGAGAATCGGAGGCACTAGGTGTATGTGAATTTGTTCATATTCAAAGGAGCTAAGGGGCATGCATAGCTTTTTTTGTACTCTTGCTGGCTTCTAACATATTTAAGAGGCTCAATTAAAATTGAGCAATCACTGTTCTTGTGTAAATGTTTACATCCATTCCACAAGCCAAGTATGTATTGTTACTCCCACACTACAGAGAATAAGACAAAGACAATACCATTGATATGCTAAGGGTCCTGTGGATTGGCAATTCTTCCCCTTCTCTACTAATTTGTTTATTTATTTCACAAATACCTAAACAGTGCTACTATGAACCAGACTCTGTTCTAAGCCCTTTGCAGATGTCAACTCTTTTGATTCTGATAACATTCCTATGAAGTCAGTGCTATCATGATTGTCATTCAAGTTTACAGATGAAGAAACACAGGTGCACATCAATTGATTAATTTGCCCAAGGACCCACAGCTTTTGAGGGGACAGCCAAGTTCTATCTCAGACAGTCTGGCTCCTTGATTCATGCTCTTAACCATCACCTAGTACTGCTGTGCAAATCTTTTAATTTGTGAGCCAAGAAATTATCCGTTTAAAAATAGGAAAAAGTGGGCTGGGGATGTGGCTCAAGCGGTAGCGCGCTCGCCTGGCATGCGTGGGCCGCGGGTTCGATCCTCAGCACCACATACAAACAAAGATGTTGTGCCTGTCGAAAAATAAAAAGATTAAAATTCTCTCTCTCTCTCTCTTAAAAAAAATAGGAAAAACTGTAAAGCATGATGGCACACACATGTAGTCCCAGCGACTTGGGTAGCTGAGGCAGGGAGATCACAATTTCAAGGCCAGCTTCAGATATTTAGCAAGACCTCTCAGTAACTTAGTAAGATCCTTTCTCAAAATAAAAAATAAAAAGGGCTGGGGATATGGTTTAGTGGAAAAGGGCCCTGGGCTTAATCCTTTACCCAGAGGCACTGAGAAGAAAAAAAAATAGATAAAATTTCCAATTTTAGCAAATGGACTTTGTCTCCAATAAGTATTGCAGAAATCTATTTAAGGGTGTATGTCTATGAGTGTGTTGAGGTAATTACAAGATCTGCCCATTCCATTCATTGGTGGCAATAAAAAGAAAACTCCATTTGGGGTCCTTCTACTAAGCAGATGACTAGCCAGTAGGAAATTATTACTTTAACTTGGGTCTTTTCTGCTGGTAATTATGAATGAAGTACTGATGTTCCCAAAGCAAATAGGTCCCAGCAGTCTGCTGGCTGCGCCAGAACAGTTGCAATGGTATGCTCACACAACATGGCCAACACAGTTTGCCTCTTGGCATCAACTGTTTAAAGTCGATCACCAAGTCTAAATATTTCAGAGCAACCCAGAACATTTCAAGTATTCTGTTCCATTAGCTGCACACAATAAACCCATACTTTTAAGCCCAGAGACTCCATTTTTGTATAAAATATAGTCACTAAATATACTGGGGACAGGAACAAAGCACTGCATTCAATACAGCAAATTACATATATCCTTTTTAAATTTTATAATACTGCCACTTTGTATTTATCTGGTTCACTTCCTCCAAGGAACACTAAGCACAGTGACTATAAATTATCCTTGTTATGTGCCTGAGATATAAGATGCTTCTATAAACTGTTTCACAGATGAAGATTAACTTGGGTTACATCTGAAAACCCTTTGAATGATTTGAAAAGATTATCTTTGATGAGAAGATTCAAAAAACTTATGTACTCCTTAAGATATACTAAGACAAAAATGATTTTAACCAGTTCCACTCTCTTCCAGTGACCTCAGATATCCAATCAAGCTGTATGGGATCTTGGATAGATTTCTTCACAGGCAAACAGAAACACATGGTTAGGGCACCCGCAACCATGTGTGTGCACACACACACATACCTTAAATAAAAATTTTATTATTCCATATTTAAGGTTTGAAAACACTTGAAATTGTCACTGTGTGGGAAATCACTCATTTAGATGACTTTCATACATATATTTTATATTTTATGTGTGTTTTTATTTTAATTGACATGTAATTGGAGGTGGAAGAAGGGCATAATCTTTTCTGAGCTACTTTAATCTGAAAAAATGACTGGAACTAACCTTACCTTGGGGAGTCCCCATTCACCAGAACTAATCCTTTTAAAAAGCGACTTTGGACTGTGGTAACATAAATCTTAAACTACAAACTGTGGATGCTAGTTCCCAGGTCTGCAAAGTCTGATCCTTTCTAGATTCTCAGCAGGTGGACCACTAAGAGAAACATTACCAGTAGGTGAGTCTAATCACAAGAACATTTCTTGTCCTGTATGAGAGATTTTGCTGTGGCCATGTCAGTGGGAACCAACAATTTTTGATCAAAACATTTCAGATGTAAGTAAGCCAAATGTTCTGAGGTTCCACAGTTCTTTTGCAGAAGAATTAAAACGTAAACCATTTTCAATCCTGAGTCTAACAAGTAGGTTAACAGTGCTCAGAGCCTTGGGGGCTGGGGAGCTATTTAGAGTTTATTTTCACTCCCAGGAACTACATGTTTTTTAGCAGAACATGAGTGATGAAGCTAACATCAAGTCATCTGCCTTCTGGAGCCATAATTTTCTTCTCCCAGTAAACTCTTGCTTGGGTCCCTGGCTTTTATGGACGTAGTATGGCAGCCACCACATGGAACAGTCTTTTTTCATTAACCTGTAGTTTTAGTTGATCAATTACTGATAATTTTGGCCCACACAGTGTTTGCCTTACAGAAAACTGTTCTTCCTAGTCTTGTTATCAGCAGCTCTTGATTTCAAAATAAGCCCAATATGTCATCCAGGAATGGCTATCTGATTTGGAATTTATTTCAAATGGCTTGCTACATCTAGACGTCAACCATTCCACAACGAAACTACAGTTGGCTCAGTTCTGTATGGCAGAAAGGGCTCCACATCTGTATGGCAAATGGTATTAGGGTCAGAGTTTAAGGACTGCTTGCTAATAAATCAACATGAAAGTTATTTCCATGTCTTGGGTGCTGTGTCTCTGAGGAGACAGCCCTTCCATTGGAGAACTTCCTAAGAGAGAAGAAAAAAGAGTGATGTTAATTAATTAGCTTTGCAAATAGTCATCCCATGTTCTTTGTAACCAGAAAGGTTTTATTCTGCTTTCTTGCAGCTGTTGTACTTTGTGCTGAGCGCCCTGGGCCTGACCGTCTGTGTGCTGGCCGTGGCATTTGCTGCCCACCACTATTCGCTGCTCAAACGGTTTACCTGTGAGACTGCACTTGACTCCTGCCAGTGCAAACTGCCCTCCTCAGAGCCGCTCAGCAGGACCTTTGTTTACAGGGATGTGACTGACTGTACCAGCGTCACTGACACTTTCAAACTGTTCTTACTCGTCCAGATGGTGCTGAACTTGGTCTGCGGCCTTGTGTGCTTGTTGGCCTGCTTTGTGATGTGGAAACATAGGTACCAGGTCTTTTATGTGGGTGTCAGAATGTGCTCTCTGACAACTTCAGAAGGCCAACAGCAAAAGGTCTAATAGTCTTGCTCAGAGGTGGAAAGAAAACAGCACATGGAGTAGCTGAGGTGGAAACAAAATGTTTTTTTAGAAAGAAAAGTTTGACGATAAATACTATTCGCCATTGTAAATGAATATTTTTATATTTTTCAGGAAAACAAAAGAGCATTTCTTCAGGTTTCTATTGCATTTTTAAAATTCATTTGCGAAAAAACAAATCCAGATTGAGTTTTGGGAATATTAGAATTTAAAAGAACATTGAACCGGGAAAGAAGGGCACAGATCTTTTTTTGCAGTCTGGCGTTTATTCCTGACACTCATTTTATCCCTGACTTACAATACAACCTTCTTTCCTGTTAGTCCAGTTTGGGTGGTATGAACTGGCACTTTGGGGCCACTTGCTAGATTGGGTAGTATCTTCTGGTCCTTGCCACCTTGAACCACAGTTCTCATGGCGTCTTGGAGAAAGGCAGGGTAGAGGAAGAGCCAAATGTCCAGGCTAAATCTTTTTGTTTTCCCTGGTAGAGATGTCTTCAAGGCATGAAATAGCTTTACAAAATCAGAGTAGAAAAGGAGGAGACTTTGCAAAAGGCTAAATAATTATAACCACCTGGGCTGGGGCGGCGGCCTTTTTAGCTCCCTGGGTTTGGCTGTGTGAGTAGATCACTCTCCGAATGCTTTGGATGATCATCTGTTTCTCAATAATTGAAAGGTGGTGGTAGTTGTATTCTTAATGATGTAGAAGTTTTAAAAATAATTACATTATGCTTCTATTCTATCATCTAAAACAAATCATTAAAACTAATTTCTTGCTAATTGTTAATTATAATTATGCTCAGAAGTCTATTTAATGAGCTCTGGCTGTACTTAGGCAGCACTGTCAGTGTTAAGAAAAATTACTCTCACAAGAGAAGATGCCTAAAGATCTTCTTTTTTTTTTTTTTTTTTGAAAGCCAAGCATTATAAGAAAAGAAAAAATTATTAATAGATTAAAAGCACTCACGTAAACAAAAACAAGAGCATTTGTCATAGAAAATGTTCTACAAATGGCACATTTGTGATATGTTGAAAAGTATCTCTCTTGGCAACTGAGTACCTTTGAGGAAGATTGGGTACTGCAGATGAGTTCTATTCATAAAACTATAGTTGATACATAATCCTATTATTGATTTATATGCATAGTGAACTTCAAGACTCAATGTTTTGAAGTGCTTATTTTAGAAATATGTCCAATGATTTTTTTGTTTTGTTTTTGAGGCAAGGTCTCACTATTTTGCCCAGGCAGGACTTGAACTCCTGTGCTCAAATAAAAGCCCATTTCCACCTCCAGAGTAGTGGATGTTATAGGCATTTTCCACTGTAACCAGCTGTGTTTTGCTTTGTTTTTGACTCACAATGATTAAAAACAAGTAGCCTGTGATAGGGGACTTTGCTCTGTTTTTGCTATTATTGTTATTATTATTATCATCATCATCATCATCATCATCATCACTATTATTAACTTCTGAATGATATAATTGTTTCAAAAAGGAGTTCAAAATGGAAATTCATGCAGCATAAATGCTATCAAGAACTTTCTCTATTAGTACACTCTGTTGAAAGAGAAGTGCAAGGTAATGATTGAGCTCAATATACCTCTCTGCATTGCTTATTGATATGCTTTAATAATCACAACCCCAAAAATTCAACCCCAAAATCAAATAGATTCTTTGAGGATAGATGAATAATTTCATTGCTTATGATAATTGTGTCAATGTCTGCATAACATAAATATCCAAATAAAAAAGTCACAGAGGATTGTAAATATATTTTTATATTCTCTAGATAAATCACTTGATTAACAGATGTTAAAACCTTTTTATGTTTTGACCTGATTTACAAATGGCCTTCCTACCCAGTAGGTCAGGCCAAGGAGGAACATTGGAGAGCTTAATGGCTAAGAGTCTGGAGCAGGATTGACTATACCCAAAAATTTCACTGACAGAATACCAAGCCTCTGAGGATAACCTGAAAAGTCCTATGTGCCCTGTTAAGAAAAATCTCAATAACTTAATCCATTTTGGTTTTTGATAATGTTTGCTGCATGAAGAAGAAAATGACAGAGAATCTAGAATGTTCCAGGTTGCCCTTAAAAGAGTAAGAAAGGACTGAGTTAGTGCTAGTTACCATGAATCAGGCACCCCTGGAAGCACATCCTGAATACCTTTAGCAACTTTTTTATAGCAAACACTACAGGTTTTTATATTAGGATATTGAGATTCTACACATCAATTAAGGTGCTCTATGATTTCAAATGATTCACAGGGTATTCCAAATGGTAGAAAAACTTTAGCTTTTTTTTTTTGCTTCCTTTGTATAAATAATGCAACCAATAAAAGCTGACTTGGTAATAAGCTTGATATTAGTATGTTAAATACTCAGGAGATGTGTGTGTGTGTGTGTGGGGGGGTGTAGTAGGGATTTTGCTATTGTGGAATCAAATCATTCTTAAATCCCCAGAGAGAAAAATATAAATGAAAAGAAGGAACAAAACCAAAAAAAAAAAGATTCCTTTGCTGAGAGCTTGCTGTATATTGATATGTGTAAGAATTGTGTTGCATGCATAACAAACTGCTTTGGGCTGGATTTGAAGTATTTTGATGTTATGTTTTGCAAATATTGAAGTTACAATAAGGGCAACAGGAAAGGAACAGACACACAGCTTTATACTTAGCAAAATGTTACATTGAAAATCTGACAAGGAGCCAAGATGGTGACTGTCTCCTCTTTTAAACCATACAACAGTAAGATTTGCGCAATCCTCCTCCTCTCCCACCTCCTTCAGGAGTATTAAATGAATCAAGACTTTGGAAAGAAAGGGAAACAGCCGGGACTTGGCAGTACTTGAAATAGGAGGAATACAGCAGCCTAAATGTACAGACTTTGTCACGGAGCCCACTCGATGGGTCTGTGCCTTCACGTGACCACCATCTGTGCCTCCCTCGCGCCATCCAAATGTGTGTAGGCAGAGCCTTGGAGCCAAGCCTAAAAATACAGCTACACCAGGGCCCTAGAAACTGTAGTCAAGTAACAGGCCTAACTTTTTTTTTTCCTCTTTGGATTAAAAGTGTGGATGATCTCTTCGGAGGGGATTCCAGCCACACATATCAGAGTGTTGTTCTGACAGGAAGAATCCATTATATAGGCATTTTCTATTCCTGTTCAAGGCATGAGGATCTTTTGATATCCTTGTACTTCTCACGTGCAGTAGATTTGGCATAAATTATAAAATTGTAGTAAAGGCTAGGATAGAGGGTGTCCAAGGAAGATTCTCAAGGACAACTGTGGTTACTGAAAAATAATAAAAAATCAATTTAAAAGCTGCCCTGCAAAACGAATGGCTTCTGTACCTAAAACATGCCTTTATATTTTCTAGTGATTATCTCTGAACTATAGCCATGTGGCCATCATTTCTGTAAATCTGCTGTCAGTTCTTACCATACTCAAAATTCTCATCATGTTTTTGGGTGTGCACTGTATATTCGGGATATACGATGGACAAATAGTCTCACAGTGGAGATATTCATTTGGATCTTCGTCTTAATGGTTTAGCCTTTGACATAAACACCTTGATTTGGTTTTTTCCCCAGATTTTCTAGTACTTTATTATCTCAAGTGATTTTTATTCCCTTCAAAAATAATAGTGTCTTACTTTGGAGTTGTGGTTTATTCTTCTGGTCTTGATCACATAGTGAATAGAATACCAAATGTCTCTACACATTTGAGGTTGTGGTTTTTAAAGGTGTTGTGTATAAGCAGATTTCCTTTATTAATAAAATTTCCATAGTCCTGGACACACTGCATTGAGATGTGCTCCAAAGTGACTGATGCACACAAAATCTCTCAGGTTAGTGTTTACTTAAAAAAATCTGGCTTGGGAATCCACAAGACCCAATATCATTTTGACTCTTTTGTCCCAGGGACTGTCCCTATTTGGGGACTCTGTTCCATCACAGAAGTAAAGATTATAATGACTCCCAGGCAACGAGTCTGAACCAGGAAAAAAAAATCTCTTGAAAGGTACCTGGAATGTTGCTTCTTAGTTTGTATGATCTAATGACAAATAAAGCCTGGACTAAAGAATTAGATACATGCTGAGAGTTACACATTTGAGTCTTTTCCATTTCAAGTTGGAAGTTGAAGACCTCTGCTTGCCCACTCTGAGGCCATTCATTGAAAGAGTTAATTATGTGGTAAAATGCAGTGGTTCTTTTTGTTTAGTTTGAAAAGCTTGTAGAATGCTTGCAGAAAAAGCTAACAAATTAGGACATACTCTGCAAGTTGGATTGACTGTCCTTGAGTTGGGGCTGTAGAGTCCAGGCTGGGAAGTCTGGCTGCCATTTTTTGCCTGTGTGACTTTGGACAAGCCATTGGCTTTTAGTTTCCTCATATGTAAAGTAGAGAATAATCTAACTGCCTCACAGCATCATGAGGAAGGTTAAATGAAATAGCACTTAGCAAAAAGATGGTCTCCTAGAGAGCTCTTAGTACACATTTGGTTTCTTCCTTCTCTAGCGGATTCTATGTAGTGTGCGAAGCTTCTCCTCAGTGATACAGGTTTCTGCTCTCACATCAAACTAGAAAAGTAGCTCTGTTGTGTTGTCACCTTTTGTGAAATCACTTTAATACACCAGAAACAGAAAGAAATTTTGCTTTTAAAATAAGATAGCACCAACTTTTATTGCTAGACACAGAATGCACATAATTTTGGGCTGGTCTGATCCCTTTGTTGGTTTCTGTATGCGGATGTTTTTGAATGTGTTTATCTTTTCTCAGTTCTTCTCCCAGGCAGAAATAGAGCCTGAGACATTTCTCTTATTTTTCATCTAAATTCTAACATGATGCAATAGAAATGTGTTTAACCCTAACTTGTTTTTTTTTTTTTTGCGGGGGGAGGGAGTACCAGGGATTGAATTTAGGGGCACTTGGCCACTAAGCCACATTCTCAGCCTATTGTGTATTTTCTTTAGATACAGGCTCTCACTGAGTTGCTTAGCACCTCACTTTTGCTGAGGCTGGCTTTGAACCTGCAATCTTCCTGCCTCAGCCTCCTGAGCTGCTGGGATTACAAGCATGTGCCACTGAGTCCGGCTTTTTCTTTATTGAGCTTTTATATATTACCAGTCCACTGCATGTTAGGTCCTAGTGTACAATCCCTCATAGATTTAAAAACCAGCGATCAAGTTTGTCTCTGAATCACCAGTTCTCATTCAAGAATCATAGAAGGTTTCCTTTTGAGCATAGACAGAAAATATGAAATGGGTCTTTATTCTCCAAGCTAGATCTGAAAACATTGATGCCAATCTTTAAATTTGAGGACATTTAATTATTGAAGTTATACAGCCAGTAATATACTTTTTCCCTTGATAAAGTCTATCCATCTTAATAGGTCATGATAAATTATTATTTTTTTTATTTAACACATATCTTTTCTAAGTTTTTTACAAAGTATAAGACTATTGAATATTATATTGTATTTTTAAAAATAAAAATTGAAAGTGAAAATAAAACTAACATGGGGATGACAGCCCAGAGACAACAATTTTTTCATTTTCCCCAATAAATATTTATATATTTATATATATATATATATATATCAAAGCATGGGTGCTCAGAGGTAATCCTTTTTGTTTGGGAAACTGATTAGAAAAATTCTTTAATCAATGGGATGTAGGACATATATTCATTGGTAATGGAAAAAGCAGATACCACCAGTAATCCAAAGGCAAAGGTTTCAGAGATAGGAAGTCGTTGGTATAACAACCTTCTCTGAAGTAGCAGGGAATGAGGCCTGGAGTCTTCTGGAACCCATATTGGAGCTCTCTTTTGCACATAGAAGCCTGCTGGAAAGGGAGGGAGGGCCCCTGCAATGGGGTGAAGGTCCACCTGATGCTGCCAGGAATTGTAGGGGAGACTTGGGCAACACCCCAAGAGGAGACTGAATCATAAGAGGTCAAGTGGCACTTTGGAGTCCTGAACCTGGAGACTTTGGAGTACCCCTCTCTGAGCAAGGCATCCCATCTACTCTATTTGACTTTCTGCCAAGACACTTCTCCCCAGAAACTCTCACTGTCTTACTCTGCCTGATCAGGGGTGACTGTAGGGAGTGAGAGGATAACTCAAGAACCACAGGGGAAGGGGCGATGTGAACAGAGAAAATAACTGTAATCTTGTGACATCCTCCCCCAATTGGTCTCCTACATCTTCCTAAACACACAGATCTGTTAGACCATCCGTGTCCTAGGGAAGACCTGAAAGCGATGTGCCAACCAGAGTGGACTGTCACAGACAGAGACCAAAATGGAGAAACGTGAAGTTCAAGTCACACTGACCTCAACAGATTATTTTAAATTCCCTTCCACTCAGGATAGAACTCACATA